CCTTGTCCTTGTACGATGCCGGACTCTACCTGCTTTGCCGACAAGATTAAGAAACCACAGCCGTGATCTTAGTATATGGTTTTGGTAAAATGAATATTTTACGAAGTATGTATTAAATAAACATTATAATTATATAAATAAAACAATACCCGTCGGTGTTGGGAGGAGGACGAAACCGAATGAATGGAAGGGGTGTGGGGAAGGGGTAGTATAGTATACTAGGTGTCATGGTTATCGATAATTAAATGTTAAAACGTTTAGAACTGGACATAAATTATTGTATATCTTAATTAACCAATACCGTCGTATATGCTTTTGTATGTATGCCTGCTGTTTTGATATAATTTACATATGTTTACAGTCGGTTGTACAAACCTTTAGCTTGTGTTTATTGTTATATATGATGTACCGACTTAAATCATCATCATCATTATTATTGTGACATTCTTAACGGCCCGTCAACACATCAAAGATCATTAGGGCCATCAACCGGTAAAACGCAGAGTGATCCATGAGATTTTCTGGACTTGACTTCATTTTATATAAGACGAGATTTCGCATGACATGAGATATCTGTTATGATTGAACTCAAATATGGACCGACATAGCTCAACGAATAAATGATAAGTTGGCTTGCCACAGAACAGTGCTGCAATGAGGAATCGAACCATGCACCGTACCAGTCTGTCTCTGTACAAATTAAGCGGAAGTAAAATTTACTATCGCGCGAATCAATTACGTGACATGTGATCAGTCAACACAGAAAGGTAAAAAAAGCAACGCAAATGCTACTGTGATATTGTAACCACCTATGATCGTTGTGAATTCGGTCTAGTTATTGTCTAGTCGGGTTCGTCACACAGATAGATTAACATCACAATACATTATACTAAGTAAGAAGTACAAAATGCAAAAAAAGTTCGCGCCCAAGCGTGGTAAGGATTTGTCTCGTTGTTGCTTTCATGTTCAAATAAAAATCGTCATTATATCACAAATGAATTATATAGTGTACTTACCATATTGGATGGTGATTTGTGTTATACGTACCTTTGAAAAATTGGTCTTCAACAGGAAAATAACAAGTCGCTTATCTCCTTCTTACTCCTTCTCTAACTACGATGCCTTCCGTCGCTAGCAACAGAGTGACAATGACGACCAGGAAATCTCACGTGACGTCTGCATATTATGACGTCATAGATAATGCATGTTTATTAATAGAACACGAGCCATGATTTATTCAGTACACGGAAAAACAATGGACATTTGTCCCCGATGTCTTTATACAAGAAAAGAAAGACGGAAAAAGTAAGGAAGGACAATTTCAATTATGACTGCAACTGCAAACTGCATTCTTAGGTGATCAAAGTGAGGATTACAGGGACTTGTAACAGAACTCCAACCCATCAAAGGGTTATCCGTATATTGTGTTGCGATTAGAAATACATGCAGTGTGCAAGACAAACCCCAGACATTTTACACCGGTGTGAAGCCGCTTACCGGTACTGAAATATGCTAAAAACTAAACATTTTCATGAAGACAAATACCATTGGATTTCTTTTGTTAGAAAATTTGTCACTGGTTGTAGGTTTGAAACACCGTGCACGCAGACAAAACAAGCCAATAATTCCAAACATTCAGTTTAATTATAAACGTGAATGAAACGTTTGTCCCTCGTATAATCCTTAAGGATAAAATCTCTACGTTTTCTGTTGAAAATATAACGTTTTTTCAGACGTTGCTGAAACGCTTATTTCTCCTCTAAAAAAATACCGTCTCGTTTGCAACGTCTATGTCACGTGTTTTTAACGTAGCACATCAACACGATATGATTTTGTTTTAAACGATTGTGATAAAACGTTTCACAAGTGTTGTTCAAACGTTTCTTTTTCGAAACAAGAAATAATTGATCAACATCATAGTTAGGTTAACTTTACGGTCATTTCACGTGTTCTTACCAATTAACATATATTCGCAATAGTTTTTTTATATCTGTAAGTTCACGTACGGGCTAGGTATGGTTGTGGATAGAACTCTAAATAATTCCTTCAAATTAACTATCATATACTTGTAATGTGGTAAATTGGCGCATATGCTCAACTTTTCTACAAAGTTGACGTAAAACGAAACAATGACTAAAGCAAAATACCCCCCTCCCCCCCCCCCTGCTTTTACATAATTGTAAAGATGTGGTACAAGGGAGATAACTCGCAGAGACGTTGAAGCAATGATGCTGCTTGATCACGAGACATTTCTGTACCCGCTAATAAAAACGCTGTTTGGCTTCCTTGTAGGTAAGTGTCATTTAAAGCATGTTTTGTAAAGCAATAACAGCCGATTGTAATATTTACCTGTAGTAATAATTTCATCATTATTTTGCAAAGTTACATTATACTTGTAAAGCTTAAATATTGCGATTTGTCGGAATCAAGTGAGTTTGGAGCAGGCGATGGCCTACCCAGCGGCAGCGCTAACCGAGCGATGCTCGAGTTTCTATTTTGACACTTTCAGTTGAAAACATGTAATTTTCGTTTTTCAATTGTTGTAAGCTCATGAAAATACGTCTGTTATAATTAAGGAGTTAAGTATAATCATTGTGTAGAAAAAGAATTTAAATACGAAATCATGCAGGTGTTAAAAATAGTAACTGTGTACCCATAATAACATGCGATATCAAATATGGCTGCGCCATACATGTTGTTGGCGGTGAATCAATTGAAATAATTTGTAAACACAAATTTTCACATGAAGCTGAGTGATGCAAGTGAACCTTTTGTTAAAAACATTTTACTAGTGTGCCTACATTAATCAGGCAAGGAAGTCAGTGTGTGTATTTTGGTTAAGTTTATGTAGCTAATTGACTTTGTGTCGTTGTTGATATCTTGTCAAACTTGAAATACATGAAGAAAAGAGGTTAATTAGTAAAGAGGAATATCCAAATGTCAGTTGTAATGTCATTGTCAAGTATGTTTATAGCTAAGTAGGTGCAGATTTATTCATAGAGGTTTTTATTCGATTTTAATGCAGGAAATATGAAATAGAAACCATTAGAACAAGATTGAAATGGTTTTGATTCAATCAAATTATTCTATATTCTACTACAAATTCTTCTAATGAAATCGTTATTATGGTGATTAGTTCTTATGTACAAGTTCATCTTCAGGTTCATTTATATGCATAACTGACGTCATCTGCTATATTAATTAGGGGAGGTCACGTGACCATCACTGACCAATGGTCAGTTCAATAGGGGACGCCAAACAGCAGTGTGTTTAGAGAAATTAATGAGGCAGCAGGCCATTTTCTTCACGACAAATTTCGTTACTACAAACGCATAGTTTCACAAGAACTCTTCACGACAAATGGTTCCTATCTCGATTGTGTCTATTTAACACACATCTGAGACTTTAGACTGGCGGGAAGAACTTACGTATTTGAGGATCTATAAACTTTGAGGAACTTTTGCTCCCCTGTTTACGGCTGCTGGGAACCCCAAGTGACTAACGTATACCCGATTGGCGGGAGTATCGAACAAGTGGTTATTTCGTCGTGTTTTATCTACTGGGATCTGTTATTACTTCATGATGATGGTGCCCTTTTTATAACATTGTAACGTGTTTACTGGACATATGTTTATCATCCAATTTTGGCGGAATCAGGCATACAAGCTTTACTGTGTTGTTAGAATGGGTCCTAAACAACGGACGAGAAATAGCTCTTGGTCAACGCCTTATGACCTGAGTATGCCGGAAAACTGGATGACGGCTAAACTCAAACAAGAACTATTTAAACTTGGGGTTACAGTTTCTTCTTCTTCAATGAAAACCACCCTTATTGCACTGTACAAAAGGCATGCAACAAACAACAGGACTGGGGCCATCAAACACGATCATTCGCCCGTGACGGAGAAAGATGATCAGGTACCTGGGCGGATACGGAATTCTAGCTCCCAGAATGCACCGTGAGACATAAACAATCAAGATGGCGTCTTGTCGGTCATTTCCCAATTCACGGACACAATCTCAGCCCAGTTGGCGGATTCATTATCCAATATCAGTCAGGAGATGCAGACTCTACAAGACAGAATACATTCAATGGAAAGCTGGCCAATTCCAGCTGCCTCAGCAGGAAGTTCAGTTCAAACAGCCAGAGATGCTAATGTGCAAAAAATGATACAGGGTCAACACCAACATTACAAACCGTGAGGGTTCCAGCTCTGATATGTATGTTACCAACGATCATCAGGTTGGTTCCAGATTTGCCCTGCAGACGGCGATTGCCGCCCACTCTTCTCAGATGTCCGACATATCGCTGATTAGAAATATGGGTACACATTCATTCATCAGGACTCAACATGGTTACTCTGCAGAGTCCTTGCCGTTCGTAGAGGTTTTATCGCCAACCCTACGTCTTCACATCGTCAAAGGTAAGGACATAAATCTTGCGGCCCTGTTAATACTATATTTCACAGGCCCTCTTAGTTCGGGAAGCGGGACAGCAGAATCAAAACCAGACCCCAGACTTCAGAGAAACCTGATGATCGGCGAATTCATTCAGGCCTTTGGCATTTTTAAGAATGTCATGTGTCAGGCTTTTCCATCTAGGAGGGAGGAATTAGATATATACGAGAGGGACATAATCGACATGGCCTCTAGGTATGGGAGTAGTGGTTTCTATGAATATCACAAACAATTTAGTGCCAAAGCAGCAGCGTATCTCACTTACAAGAATATTAGAGTAGACTGGTCAGTTAGGATATGCGTTGTTCTGTAATATTTTCACTAATCTCATACCAATCAACTGCATTATATGTAACAGCGTCAGCCACAAAGCCGGTTTTATTGTCAACTAAAACTCAACAACAAAGGTACACTAACAGCAACACCAACATGGACAAGCACGGCAGATTTAAGAAACTACATCAAGGCAAGGAAATATGCAATAATTTCAATGACAGGGGATGTAGAAGATTTCATTGTAACAATTTACACGTGTGTTTGATATGCCAAAAAGACCATGCAAAAAGAGACTGTTCTCACGTCGCCGGTTCAAAAAACGACTCGGCCCCCCAGAACCTCCACAAGAGGGGAAATCAGTAGGGGGGCTCCCCACGGTGTCTACACCTATTAATATTGACATGTTAGAGTTGGAACTGTCCTCTCATCCAGATAGGACTTTTGTGGCTTATCTGTTAGAGGGTTTACGTCAGGGTTTCGACACTGGTGTTAGAGATATACCGGAAACATCTCTTGTATGTAAAAATTTATTATCTGCTAGGACTCAACCAGACGTGGTGCAGGAACTGATAGACTCAGAGTTGAAGAAAGGTTTTTTAGCCGGGCCCTTCGAGACCATACCTTTCCCAGTTTACAGAATCAATCCCATCGGTATAGCTGAAGGAAAGTATTCTAAGAAGAAGAGATTGATTGTGGATTTGTCAGCGCCACATGACGACAAAAATAACCCCAGCTTGAATGACCTCATTGATAAGAATGAATATTCATTACAATATGTAACTATTGACCATGCTATTAGTGTTATAAAATTTTTAGGACAACATAGCTGGCTGTGTAAAACAGACATCTCTGATGCTTTCAAACTTTTACCAATTCACCCATCTTTATGGCCTTTTCATGGGATTATGTGGAGTCAAAAATATTATTTTTATACAAGACTGGTTTTCGGAAGCAGATCCAGTCCAAAAATCTTTGACACCTTGTCAACTGCTATTTGTTGGATTTTAAAAAACAGATATCAAATCCATCATGTGCTACATCTATTGGATGACTTTCTAACGGTCGATGCTCCTAATGACAATGCTGAAGATACTATGGTCAAACTTTTGGAGGTTTTCGATACACTTAACATTCCTATCGCGAAGCACAAAACTATGGGACCTGCTACAGATCTGGAATATCTGGGGATAATTTTGGATACAGCAAACATGCAAGCACGTCTTCCAGAGCAAAAGATAAATCGTATTTGTAACTTCCTAGTAGATTTCAAGGACAGGAAGTCATGTACTAAGAGAGAGACTTAGTCTGCTAGGTCATTTAAACTTTGCAAGTCGTGTAATACCGCATGGCCGCGCATTTGTATCCTATCTGATTGGTTTGTCCACTCAAGTCCGAGAGTTACATCATCATATTAAATTGACCAAAGAGTGTAGGCTAGATATGGACATGTGGTTCATCTTCCTTAAACAGTGGAATGGCGTATCATTTTTTTCTTCATGACTTTGATACTTTTGCAGCGGATATGCATTTATATACTGATGCTACAGATAAGGACTTTGGAGGTATTTACGGACATAAATGGTTCCAGGGAAGCTTCCCTGAAGATATGACCATAGCAGGAGAAAGAATTTCGATGGCTTTCTTAGAGCTTTACCCTATTGTAATGGCATGTGTGTTATGGGGTCAGGAATGGACAAAGAAACGGATAGTTTTTCACTGTGATAATATGTCTACAGTGGATATCATTAACAAAGGCAGGTCTAAAGTGAGTCTTATCATGAAACTCATGAGGAAATTGACCTTAGTTTCTGCTTATTACAATTTTACTGTGCGTGCCAAACATATCCCAGGAATTGATAATACTATAGCAGATGCCATTTCTCGATTCCAGATGACAAAGTTTCGCAGACTAGCACCATGGGCGGATCCACAGCCAACGCCATGTCTTTCGGCATCAAACCTACTTACACTAGGAGAGACCAAATTAATCAGCTATGGGACTATGCAGTGAGTCCTCTGACAAAGCGAACATATGCTGTGGCTATTCAACATCTACTCCGCTTTACGGCTTTGTGCGGATTGATGGGGTCAGCTAGCCAACTGCCGAGTTTATCCGAGGATATCCTCATAGATTTTGTGTCCTACTGTCACTTCAGTTTAGGATTGCGTGTTGCCACAATTAAATTATACCTATCTGGGATCCGTTTTCATTATCTTAAGAGTGGTCTGAGCAATCCGTTACTTCAGTCAGAAAGACTTGTGTGCATATTACGGGGTATTAAAAAGTGTCAAAGCGGTTTATTAAACCAAAAACGTTTTCCTATAACTTTTGATATTTTAAAACGCATGTGCAACTTATTACAGGGGTCACTGTTTTCCCCTGATTTAGACTTACTGCTGTTATGCGCTTGTCAAATGGCGTTTTTTGGTTTTTTACGTTGCGGTGAATTCACTGCTAATCATTATACGTCTAATAAAGACATACTCCGTATTAAAGACATCATTATGTCCAGTGATTTTTCAGGTTATTTTATTATATTAAGAAGTTCAAAAACTGATCCTTTCAGACAAGGTGTAAAGATTTCTATTTTTAAGAATAATCTTCATCTTGTTTGCCCAGTGAAATCTATGTACAAATATTTACAGACTAGACAGAGTCGAGGTGCTACAGGTGATGCTCCATTATTTGTTGAACCAAACAATTCGGTTCTTACCCGAGATCACTTTATCACGTATCTTAGACATATTTTGTCTGTACTTGGTATAGATAGTTCGAAATACTGTGGGCATTCTTTTCGGATCGGAGCGGCTACTACTGCTGCATCGGTCGGGGTAGAAGATCATTTAATACAGACTTTAGGTAGGTGGTCATCCAACTGTTACACTCGTTACATTAGGACATCAAATGATGTCATCAAGGCGGCACAAAATAAGATGTGTACCAGTTAATTAGCTTCATGGAGGTACCTATATCATTCTTGGGGGCTCTCTTGCAATAGTCACAATAGTTTCTATTCCAATCGATTTGGCCTTATCAATTCAACATATTTGAATTTTTTACCCCAATTCAGATATAGTTATTACAGTTATAAATCACAATTTACTTAATGTATTTAGTATTCAATATTAACCTGATGGTTTATCTGACATTTCTTTTAAGTGGCATATACCTGGTGGCCTCACCTGGCCACAGATACACAGCCACAACATGCTGGGCTCACCCAGTATCTAGGCTGATCAGGATTTTCAGTCATTTTAAAATGTCTATGAAATAAACATGCAGAGTAGCCCCTAAGATTGCCAAAGTTTATAAATGTAAGTCTAGTACCTGTTATTGATTGTTTAGTTATAAGAGATAATTTTTACAATACAAAAAATTGTACCTTACTTGAGCGTTGGTGTTATTTGTATAAAATTAAAATTTATTTAATTTAAGTTTATACAAATACACCTTCAGAACTGTATACCATCATTGTAGGGCATGTTTATAAATATGGTAAAAATGTTGTATAATATACAGTGTAGTGTTATGCTTAATTATATGTATTAAGTCTGGTCAAGTTTTATATAAATTGTGATGTGATTAGTTTCTTATGTACAAGTTCATTTTCAGGTTCATTTATATGCATACTGACGTCATCTGCTATATTAATTAGGGGAGGTCACGTGACCATCACTGACCAATGGTCAGTTCATTAGGGGACGCTAAACAGCAGTGGGTTAAAAGAAATTGATGAAGCAGCAGGCCATTTTCTTCACGACAAACCCACCATCCAGCCCCATTCACCTCCAATTATATGAATTTTTGTATTATAGACATATCATCAATATATATACCAAGTCCCTAAGTTCTCTGTAACATGCTGTCACATAATAGATACAGTGCCTTCTTTCAGTAGTATATCACAAATAGCATCTATACTTTATGTCTGTTACAGGTTGTCAGGTTACTGATTCTGGGTCTTAGTTATCTACATCATCAGATCATGCATACATGAAGCTGTCTTACTGGTGTGCTCACCACAGTTTCAGTGTCTTAATTCTGTGATTCAGGCCTAGTCTCAGTACAGATCAATATCAAGCTGTCTTACCCGCAATTCCATACCACCGGTTCAATAGCTCATTCCTTTAATTCAGGTTAAAGTTTAGTTAAGTTCTTAGCATCAATATTGTAAGTCGTCTTACCTGCTGTTCATATCACAGGTTCAGTGGCTTAATCTGTATTCCAGGTCTAGTCAAAGTGAGATCAACACATCAACTTGGCTTACCTGCTGTTCATATCACAAGTTCAACGGCGGGTTGCCTTAGTCCAGTTCCAGGTCTAGGCTCAGTCCATAGCATCAGTAATGCAAGCCGTCTTACCTGCTGTTCATTTCACAGGTTCAGTGGCTTAATTCTATATTTCAGGTCTAGTCACAACACAGATCATCACAGCAAGCTGGCTTACCTGCCGTTCATATCACAGGTTCAGTGGCTTAATTCTATATTTCAGGTCTAGTCACAACACAGATCATCACAGCAAGCTGGCTTACCTGCTGTTCATGTCACAGGTTCAGTGGCTTAATTCTATATTTCAGGTCTAGTCACAGCACAGATCATCACAGCAAGCCGTCTTACCTGCTGTTCATATCACAGGTTCAGTGGCTTAATTCTATATTTCAGGTCTAGTCACAGCACAGATCAACACATCAAGCTGTCTTACCTGCTGTTCATATCACAGGTTCAGTGGCTTAATTCGGTATTTCAGGTTTAGTCATAGCACAGATCATCACATCAAGCCGTCTTACCTGCTGTTCATACCACAGGTTCAGTGGCTAAATTCTGTATTTTAGGTATAATCACAACACAGTATCATATACATCAAGCTGTCTTACCTGCTGTTCATATCACAGGTTCAGTGGCTTAATTCGGTATTTCAGGTTTAGTCATAGCACAGATCATCACATCAAGCCGTCTTACCTGCTGTTCATACCACAGGTTCAGTGGCTAAATTCTGTATTTTAGGTATAATCACAACACAGTATCATATACATCAAGCTGTCTTACCTGCTGTTCTGAGCACAGGTTCAGTGGCTTAATTCTATAGTTCAGGTTTAGTCATAGTACAGTTCAACACAGCTAGCCGTCTTACCTGCGTTTCACATCACAGGTTCAGTGGCTTAATTCTGTATTTTAGGTCTAGTCACAGAACAGATCGAGACATCAAACTGCCTTACCTGCTGGCATTATCATAGGTTCAATAGCTTTTCCCTATTTCAGGCTCAAGTTCAAGCCGTATTACCTGTTGTCCATATCACAGATTCACTCGCTTATTTCTGTATTTCAGGGTCAAAGTTCATAGAATTAGTACTTCATGCCGGCATACCTGCAGTGCTTTTTTACAGGTTCATTGTCCGGGATCTGTTCTTAAGGTTCATTTCAGGGTCACAATGCATCTAGTTAGTTTATTTGCCAGTCTTACCTGTTGCATTTCACTGATTCAGGAGAAAGAATATCGAAAATCCAGAGTCAGATAGTCACAGAAATGTACTGTTGGAAGTTCTTTCTATCTAACCTGTTAAAAGTTTCTCTATCAGAATTAATTCAAGTCAGTATAGTATGATAAGTAGGCTCTCTTGGTTATACACATAATAATTATAGCTTAATTAATGGAAAGCAGTCTTTTATAAGTAAAGGATGTCTGAGTAAGACACATCTTATATTATTTCCTTTAATTAAGAATCTGAACCGGAATGCCATTTTAAGTTGGTGTGATGTTCAGTACACTTATTTATACTTCATGTGGTGTTATGTTGACTCAGAACTTGTTGAGAGAACATGTGCATAGTACTTGTGCAGTTTAGTTTTGATCGTTTTTTTGCATGACTATTTCATTATGTTTGGGCTACCTGTTTGTTTGTTACTTATCACTTCAACATACTTCAATTTTGGCCTTATCAATTCAACATATTTGAATTTTTTACCCCAATTCAGATATAGTTATTACAGTTATAAATCACAATTTACTTAATGTATTTAGTATTCAATATTAACCTGATGGTTTATCTGACATTTCTTTTAAGTGGCATATACCTGGTGGCCTCACCTGGCCACAGATACACAGCCACAACATGCTGGGCTCACCCAGTATCTAGGCTGATCAGGATTTTCAGTCATTTTAAAATGTCTATGAAATAAACATGCAGAGTAGCCCCTAAGATTGCCAAAGTTTATAAATGTAAGTCTAGTACCTGTTATTGATTGTTTAGTTATAAGAGATAATTTTTACAATACAAAAAATTGTACCTTACTTGAGCGTTGGTGTTATTTGTATAAATAGCATCTATTATATTACAAATGAGGTCACGTGGTCATGTAGGATTATAGTATATATGGTAATCAGCGGATGTAGACATGAAAAAGTATGCAAATCTTTTCCAGAGTGCATTGCAGAATAATTATCACACCTTTGATTCTTGAAAAACGTATTTGTATCAAAATATGAAATATTTCATTATTTTTCTGTTTTGTGATTTGCATTTTTATTTTGAAAATATCTGCTTGTTCACCTGGAAAATGACTACATAAGTTGATCCTGACCGTTAATTGAGAGGTTAATTGTCGCTCTCAAGGAACGACAACTCTGGTAGAGATTTGGAGAATACACGGTTAGAGTCTTGAAATATAAGCTGTATAGCGCGAGCCTTGGGCGAACCACCTTTGTGACTTTTTTGCTCTTTCCCAAGCCAAAGTGCAGCTTATATTTTAGGACACTGCCCATGTATTCTTTTGATCCTGCAATACTTATTCTGCCTCGCCAAACTTTAACAGTTCGTTTGGCCTATTCAATCTTTGTTTACCTGACGTTGACGTCACGCTGAATTATGCCTAACGACACACGTCAAGAAACATAGTTCAAAATTTCATTGATATCAAAAGCAATTTTATGATTTTTCGTCAATAAATTTGTTTGCTTCAACAAATAAAATCGCTTATTTACACAGATATCTATATTTTTGAATGAAATGAATA